TTGCTGAATAAGTAACTGGTTTACATTCAGATCAGTGGCTTAAGTAAATCTGTTCATGAGCACAGTGTACACAGAAGCCAGGGCGCCACAATACAGCTATGCAGAAACAAAGACAGACTTAAGGATGTTCTGAGGATGAGACGAGTTGCACAATGTCTCTTTGTCTATTTTTGGTCATGCATGTTTGTTTTGGCTGGGAGTGCAGCAGAAGGGACTGTGGTGGCATTTTGTGCAGTGTGAAGTGGATTACAGGCTATTTTGGGTAATACCACGGATTAAAATATTTGTCTTTTTCCTCTTGTCACCCTGCTCCCTGTCTCTCCCCGTTTCTTTTTTTGTTTTTTGCTGCAGGGGTCCCAGGGTTCTTCCAGCTCTCTGTCTTCCGCGAAAGTTTCCAGCTCGGTGGAAGACGGGGATGGACTCGTTACTGAAGGTGAGGAAAATGTTACAACAGTGTCCCGTCTGTCCCTCTGTGGGCGAAGGCCTTTGACTTGCAAATATCATGCATGTGTGAATCATGTCCGTGACCTTTGATGCATCTGATTTGTACACCCTGTTCTCAACACCTCTTTTTTTTTTTCCACACCTTTCCCCTTGTCTGTCTGGTGTCTTTCTCTCCACCTCACTGCAAAAAATGATGTGCTCGTAACTTTTTGTGAAAGATGACAAGTTATGAGTCAGAAGCCACAGACTTTAAAGAAATAACTTTAATAATCTCTTTTGGGTCAGGTCACTCTAGTATCATCTGATATTTTCATCTGTGACTTTACTTAATTAAAGAAAGTCCAGAGAACCTTATTGAATGTTATAAACTATCTCATGAAATATTATATAACTGAGCATTGATTGCATATATTTGCATTTTGATTTGCCAGTTGGTTCCGCATTAACTTTTCTATTTGCCAGCTTGATTACCATTTACAGAGAACTCTGCAGAGCATTACTGTGACAAAATGTCGACCGTGGGATGTAACTAGATGCCCATTTGACTGTAAATCTTAAGTTTAAATGATTTAGATACAACAAAAAATTTGCTTTTTAATTATAGAAAAATATGTTATCTGTACTTATTCATAAAATTAAGCCCTTTTACAAGTACTTTACTCTTTGTTTAGCTCTAAATACTTGTATTAGTCCCACCTTTATGTTCAGTTAGATATAAACTAAATATCCACCATTAAAGTCAAAACTTTTAAAAGATTTTACGTCCTCTGAAACCTGAAAAAAAGTGAGCAAAACACCGTGCTGGTTTTGTGTAAACTGGTTTCGATTCCTGAGTCCCTCAGCAGCTCTAAACCTTGTTCCTCCTCCCTGCAGCTGAGGTTCTAGTCGATGAGGTTCCAACTGTGCCGTCCTACATATCAGACCGCTACAAGGTGGGGCGGATGTTAGGAGATGGGAACTTTGCAGTCGTGCGGGAATGTGTGGAGCACTCCACAGGACGGGAGTACGCTCTGAAGATCATCAACAAGGGCAAATGCAGAGGCAAGGTAAGGGAACATACAGAATAAAAGAATAGAATAAAACTTTATTGATCCCTTCGGTACAAGACCTCAGGGAAATTGCTAAATATGACTGAAACAGCAAAAGTTCACTGTACAAGTCAACTACACTCAAAAAGAAAAACTGTTAATTGACTAAGAGAAATAAGATTATGTGTGTTGAAAGTACAAAAGACTACTGTGGATATTAGTTAGCATCGCCAACATCAATACAACTAAGAAAAGAAGCTTTTTAGGGCTTTATGCAATCATATTTTTAGTAGTTAACTTGAGTTTTATTAGCTCAAGAGCAAGAGAGTTTTCTCTACCCATAAAAGAGCATTTTACATGAAACCCGTCCACTGCATTTTTAAGCTCACAAGTCTATTAAGTAGTTTCACTTTTTCTGCAGCGATGTAAAGGGGTAATCAGTGTGTGTCAGTACACCATGATACCGCAGTTGACTATAGCCGCACACTTCTGCCAATACAGACAGACATCTGATAAACTTGATTCCTTTGATAAATGTGTTCTGCTTGGATATAAAATCTTTTTTTATTCTGCTAGGAGCACATGATCCAGAACGAGGTGGCCATCCTCCGCAGGGTCAAACATCCGAATATCGTCTTACTCATCGAGGAGGTGGACACTTACAACGAACTTTACTTGGTCATGGAGCTGGTCAAGGTGTGTGGCCATGTTTGTGTACCGAAGCTACATGTTTATTTTGTACATGTTTGTGCACCATTTGTTCTGGTTAGGGACAGGCTGGGATATTTTTGCCAAATTGAGATAATGGACCGAGGCATTCTCTTCTACATGATGGCGATCATTATGTCACATTTGCGAGGGACAGGGAGGAGCAGAGAGGCAGAAATGGTGACAGTAACAGCGCAGCAAACATTCAACCAGTGAAGCAAATGATGAATTCCAAGCAGTGGCACAGTATGGGATCGAGAGAATCGGTCTGTGCCCCCCGAGCGCTCGTGTGGTCACATTCTTCATTCTCTCTCCTGCTTTCTGAGTCAAGAAATGTTTGTGCATAATTCAGGAGCCAGGAATGTGATCCATCTGTTCGTACCGTGGCGTGGAGTACTACAGAATATAGATGAGAGGCAATCTGTGGGAGAAATGTGTGTACGTGCGAGCTTGTCCAAAGTAGGAGGATCGAGAGGAGGCTGTGGATGAATGAGGTGGAAAGAGTCACTGGCAGAATGACAAGGAACGAGAGAAGGAGAGAGACGGATAGATATGCTGATAGGGGAGGATAGAGCAGAGAGGTGGAGAGGGAGGGAGATGTTGCAGAAGATAGCAAAAAGTATACACATAGCTTCCTTCCTTTTGCCTGTTTCGGTTTCACTTCATTTATTCATTAAAAGGGTCAAGGCTCATTGATTGACAGAAAAATGACTATAAATGAGTCAGAGTTTGTCCTATAGGCTAATTTTTAGAGCAATTTTGAGCAATAATGTGCTCAGACAATACTTAGTGATAGTTTTAGGAAGGAAGGAATATTTCAGCATGACTAAGTAATGCCTATTAAGGAAGGTGCAGAAGAACTTGATTTTTTCATACAAAAGCCTGACTCCAAACCCTTCTAGCTTTTTTTTTTTTTTGGTTGCCAGGCTTCATTTCCCAGTGACTGAAGAGGAGAAACTCCCAAATAAGAGTAGAGGGTGTTATAGGAGTACATTAAAGTGTGTGCTTTCACATTTAGATGCATGGCTCGAGTGTCCATATACTTTAGCCCACACAGTAGATGTAGAGAGCTGTGGATACAGTGGTTAGAGGCTGAGCTGTGGCATTTGACAGCTCTCATATTTAAACAACTGTCGCTGTGCAGGTCGAACCCTGACAGTGTGTCTGCACTGGAGGAGGGACAGAGAGAGAGAGAGAGAGAGGTAGAGAGAGAGAGATTCGGCCCTATTTTAAGCCGCTGTTCCACTTAGTCCACTCAGGGAGAGAGACACAGAGGATGAGAGCGCTAAGAGGCGGGTGAGATTCAGACAGAATGCAAAATACGAGACTGACAGAGAAAAAAGCCAGAAAGAAACGAGTTGAGCATGAATTAATGAAAAAAAAAAAGATTCAAATGAAAAGGAAATATTAAAGACAGCGGATGGATACATTTCAATCAAGGTGAGGAATAAGGAATGATGATCCCTCCAGCTGCTGAGCTGACAAAAAAAAAAACAACTTGCCGCTAAATGAACTTTTTTTTTTTTTTAGCCTAAAAACTCTTTTCAGCAGAAAAGACGAGCAACTGTGAAAACTTGGAGGTGAATCTGTCAGGTTCTCTGTGTGCGTGTGTGTGTCTGTGTGTCTGTGAAGACACCAAACAAACTGCCGTGAAATTCCTCCCTAACACTGACAGCCCACCCATCCATCATGACTTGTCCGCAGGGGGGAGATCTGTTCGATGCCATCACCTCCGCCAACAGATACACAGAGAGAGACGCCAGCGGCATGCTCTACAATCTGGCCAACGCCATCAAATACCTCCACAGCCTCAACATTGTGCACAGAGACATCAAACCAGAAAACCTGCTGGTGAGTTCACACACACTGCACACATGGTCATATAACTTGCCGCAGTGTAGTTCTCCCCATCCCCTCTTTCTGAATGAACAGGGAAGTAATATCAGTCACTCTGGACTCTCACTGAGAGGAGAAGATGAGTCATTCCTGCTGCCCTCACACCTCCTGCACACTCCTTCTCCAGCCTCCCTCATTTGTGCCTTCCCTCCCTCTTTCTCCCTTCTGTCAGACTCCTCATTCTCGTCCTCTTACTCCAACTGCTGCCCCTCCTCGGTCCTTACAAGCGATGGCCGAGCCATATTTCAAAAAAACGTTCCACTCCAAAGCTCGAGTCGAGTTGGCACAATCACCCCTGCTGGCTGTGCAGCTTCTTTTTTCCTTGTCTCTCTCTGTCTCCCCTTATTCACTCTGCAACCGTATCAGTTAGATAAGAAATATTGAGTGATTCTGTGTTTATTTTTTGAAGTCCTGACATAGAGATTAATCACAAATGCATGTAAAAGGTGGAAAAGCTAAGTTACCTCTATAAAATATGCCATTTTTACAGTGTTGGTTAGACATCAGATAGGAATTTATTCAGTTTTAAACCTGTATTAGGTAATTTTTTGGCCCATTCGGGGAAACAAGCTACAAAAACATGCCAGCAAATAGTTCTTTCCACACATCCAGCAAACATGGAGCATTCACTCACAAACATTCGCTCCGTGTTGGTCCCTACCCACGCCTGATTAAAATATCTGCTAAATGCTTCACCGTGTCCTCCAGCTGATGACTAACTTTGTCTGTCTGTCATTTAGTGCAGCGCAGGTAGAGTACTGTGAGTTTAACATCATTTATTTGCCAAAAACAGCTGCCTGCCATCGATAAAAACAACACTATGAGCGTAGTCAAATTATTAAGAGCAACCCCTTTCACGCACATGTTAAAATTAGAACAACTGTGAATGTATAAATATCGGTTATAGCAGCTTTAAGGTCCCAGTTTGTTTGCGGGTGTCGCTGGGATCGTGCTGATCTCATTGCAGATCCTATTTTTAACAGAACGGGTGTTTTCTGTCTGCTCAGGTGTACGAACATGCAGATGGCAGCAAAAGCCTGAAACTGGGAGACTTTGGTTTGGCGACCATGGTGGACGGACCCCTCTACACCGTCTGCGGCACCCCGACATATGTAGCACCTGAAATCATCGCAGAAACAGGGTGAGCAGCAGCAGACGCAGAGATGCAGTTATGTAGGCAAATCACCACTGCAGGCTCTACCGCTTAAATGTCGTAATGCAGTTTCACGGCCAACATATTAGTCATGTTTTCATGCAATTAGAATGGTTGTTGCAGAGGAAATATGTTTTGTATCACTGCTCAGAAATGTTGTCTTTAAGGCAATGCTGTGCAAGATAACCTGTTTATTTACTGCTGCATTGAACTCATTTCTTTGCCTTTGTGCAGGTATGGCCTTAAGGTGGACATCTGGGCAGCAGGAGTCATCACCTACATCCTACTGTGTGGTTTCCCACCCTTTCGAGGGTAAGCTAACAGCAACAAATCACTTTTTTCTGCTTTTAAGTCAATCTTCAAGTTGTGCATGAGTCCCCCGTATGGTTGGTGACAGTATTGCAGCTTTACTTCTGTGGACAGAATTGACAAAAGCATTGTTATGTCAAGATAGACACACCAATGAAGATTTTTTTTTTTCTTGCAGGAGCAGTGATGATCAAGAAGTGCTTTTCGATCAGATACTTATGGGACAGCTAGAATTCCCTCTACCATACTGGGACAACGTGTCAGAGACAGCAAAGGTGCAAATCAACTTTATGTCCGCATCCACCCTCCGTTTGTGTCTGGAGGATGTTTGAGTTGAAAAAAAACAAACAAACTCACCACTGTTTGCTTTGTGCTGCAGGAGCTGATTCGATCCATGCTGGAGGTGGAGGTGGATCAGAGATACACCGCCCTCCAGGTGCTGGAGCACCCTTGGGTCACGGTAAGTACACGTCCATCTATCTCCAACATATATATTCAGTTGTTGTTTTCACAAGAACACAGCATTTACTTCTTCTTCTTCCTTTACCTGATGCAGGATGAGGGTCTGTGTGAGAATGACCACCAGCTGTCAGTAGCAGGGAAGATAAAGAAACACTTCAACACCAATCCGAAGGTCAGCGACACGACTGCAGGAGTGTCAGTCATTTCTGTAAGTTAGAAACTACAGCACCCATAAACCGACTTGTTCAATCTAAAGCTGTAGCTATTACTCTCGGCTGAGCTGGTTTTTACAGAGGTTCTTCTCAGTTTATTTGCTCTGCCTCGAAAGACAAACGCAGCTTTCTGAGAGAAGTTTGTGTCTTATCGTGTTTCTGTTTCCCAATGAACTGGTGTTTTAGATTGATTGTGCTGGTTTCTCTTTGTGTTCAGCTGGATGACAGCTTTTCTATGCAGAGATCTGGGTCGTTGGATTTCTACCAGCACCCGGCCATGTACTGGATAAGGTACGCCAGGTTTCCATAGAGACACAACTGGGTAGACGCTCACAAACCAGCGAGAAATCAAAACAAACCAAAATAGTGTCTCTGAAATTGATGTCTCCCCTCCCTCCCTGCGTGTCGCCCTGCTGACTGGCTGCTGCTGTGCTGCTTTGACAGCTTCGTGTTGTCCCCGCTCTGTCGTTTTTTTTGTGCTTGGCTTTTTGCTTCTTTCTTTTCATCCCTCCCTCGTTGTGCTCACAGATTTCATACTCGCATTTACTGTTGTCGTCTGTCTTTCGCTAAGACCGTGCTTTCTGTGTTGTGCGACTGTTTAGCAGCGTCGCCTGGATTTCTGCCTTTTTCTGTGAATAAGGGCGTGCGTTTCATCCTCAGCATTATCCTTGTGAATGATTCTCCTAAATGTCGTCATTGTGCACGCCCTACAGAAGTATGTCTTTGAGTAAATAAAAAAAAACAAAAAACGGTTGCTATGGTTTTCACAGACTAACTCATTTTTTTGCTTTTTACTATTTCTTTGTGAATGCTCCCTTTGCAAAGAAATAATCCTGCACTCTTGCTTGTCTCATTAAGTTGTTTGATGTTTTTGCTTGATGTGATGCTCCCCACCTGGCTGCCTCCTCTAATACCAAAGCTTGCTGTTCAGCTCCCGTTGCTCCTGTTGTGTGACTTCATCCACTCATTTATGAAGGACCTTGAAGTTTATGCTTAGAAAGATGAAGGAATTGAACACTGAAACGAGGACTTAATAACAGGCTTGAAAAAATTATTAAATGAATGCTTTAATAATCCAATTTTTTGAGTTCCCTTTTAATACTCTAAATAGTTTTCCTGCTTTTCCCCATTGTGCAGGTAACTCTACAGTATGTAACTCATTGACTGTTGAGTTCCAAACTATTTTAACAGATTTTGCAGTAAGTAAAAAATAAAGCAAGTAGGAAAAGTAAAGGGGACACAACAGTAAAAGTTTAGTTTAAAAATCCCTTTTTGCTATTGTTACTTCCTCTTGTGACTGTCCAGTTAAATATCAGTTAGCAACTTAAAGCTGGGGTAGGCATGAAGGCAGAAAAAAATTGGTAGAATCTGAAAATACAGCCCTCCACCTACAGCTCTATCCTCTGACCTTCTCCCACCAAATGAGCACATGGTTTAAACATGTTAAAAAAAACAAAGTCAACATTCATCCACGGCTTTACAGGGGATTTAAAACCCACCCTCCAGAGTGAAAATCCCACTGCGCCACCACTATCACCTGATCTGTGTGAAAAGACATGATTGGCCTAAATCTCCCGTCACACACTAGACTTTCTAAAACAGAGTTAGGAGGAGGTGCAGGAGTCTAGTTTCCTCTCAGATCAGTTGAATTACAATTTACGGAGACATGGAGAAAGAAAGAAAAACAGCGAGAGGACAAAAAAATAGAGGTATCTTTTGCAAGATCTTTCTCGGGATCTTGCAAAACTACAGGTAACTCTAGTCCAGTAGGTGGCAGTAATGCACCTGAACTTTGTATGCCAATCGCCAAATCAATAGAAGAAGAAGAAGAAACCCATAGGTATATGTACTTCTGGGTCTTTTTGGCAGTATGGACAAATGACAGTGGAGGACACCCACCCACATTTTACACAGACGCCTATTTTTTTTTCTATTCCTTTCCGTTTTTTTCTTTCTCCATGTCCCTTTCGGAGCTCTGTAACAATTTGCTAAAAGGTTTCTAAAGAATTTTTACCCAACAACACCAAAAACTTCTGCCTACTCCAGCTTTAACAAACATGTGCAAAGCACGCCTGGTCCTCCATACCGGATTATCCACTGTGCTCCTCCATCAGAGGATCTAATCATAATGTTCTCCTGTTCCCATTTCTTTCAGGCCACCTCTCTTGATAAGGAGGGGCAGATTCTCAGACGAGGACGCCACCCGGATGTGAAGCCGCTGCCTTTGCAGACGATGCAGACTGTGAATTCAGTAACAACAACAACAAAAACACTCCGAGCGGAGCCTCCCAGTTGCCTCCCCGGCCTGCCCCTGGCCCCTCCCTCTCTGACCCCCGACACGTGCTCTGACCCCTCCCCGGCCCTAAGCCCCCCATCTGATGACATCTCCATCAGCTCAGCCAGCACCGTCTGCTCCCCCAACTCGCCCTTCTAGAGCGGAGGCCGAGGGGAGGAGGGGGAGGAAGAGGATAAAAGGTGTGCAAGAAGAGCAGGAAGCGAGGAGGGAGAATCCTCATCCAGCTCCTCCCTCTGTGCGGAGGAGGAGGAAGAGGAGGCGTCCGCTTCCCCACGCTCTTTCACCATGATGCTGGGGGTGAACATTGAAAAACTGAGGAGGGAAGAACAAAAAAAAAAATAAAAATTTAAAATTTAAAAATCAGAGTGAACTTTCAGCTCCCCTGAATCCATCTTTCCAAACGTGGAGGAGAGATCGATCAAGGGGCGGGGACGAGAAGAAAGAGATGTTTGGGAGAAAGATCGAAGATTCAACAAGAGATCATGAGGAAGAGGGAAAAGGTGGAGTGAGGTGAAAGACTTTTGCTTATTTCTTTTTCACATTCTCTCATCTGAGCACATGTTACAGAGCTCAAGGAGCGAGAAAGGAGCAACGGTACTGTTTGCCCTTCAGTGATGATCCGGGCTCGACATGGAAACTTCCTTATGGTGGAACAGCTCTACAAGGCAATATGAGAATATGGACCGATGTTCATGTTTTATTGAACCTTATTTATTCTTTCTTTATTCACTACATTTTTTGATATGTATTTCTCTTTTTCATGAAGGATACGTTTTTTTGTTGACTTATCCTAAGAGCTTGGTGGAATGAACACAAAGGAAAAGTCTGCAGAAGAAGTAGGGCTCAGAAATGTTTAAGTAGGGTAGACTTGATGAACAATGTATTGTAGGAAAAAGACAGCTAGAGGATGTAGAGAAAGGAGTTTTTCTTGCAAAAAGTGTTTTTAAAAAAAAAAGTTTTAAAAAAAGACGACAGAACAAAGACAGCACTTGTGCTATACGAATTCTGTGCTCCACACAGTATTGGCGTTGCCTTCCCGTGATGTTGGATTGCAGTATTACAGTTTACATTTTACACAGACTGCTATGAAGACAACAATGGTGCATTCGATTGCTATTTGGAATTTTGTTAACTGCTTAGTTCACGACATCTCGATGCACAAAAATTCAGCAGCATCCGGGTGCTTGTGTAGCAAACTCAACATTTGAACCATGTTTTTTCCTCAATGCACACACTTTTCACACTCATTCTGAACCGACATCACATCCATCTTTATATTTTGTGACTCCAATTTGCATATTTCATTAACACATTCCAGCAGTAAAGAAAGGTATAATTGTTGCAGCCCATGTGTCCCACGTACATGGATTTGGAGGTTTGTTTTAAGGCGGTAAATGTATACATTTAACAGTTGTTGAAGGCTGCCTATTTGCACAAAGGCACTACAGTTAAGGTGCAGTCAAGCAGGAGTGAAAGGTGAAACGCCGGAGAACCAGCAGCACTCTTGCAAAGCAGTACAGTTACAGTAAAAAGGATTGAGGAGGATTTACTTCAGCTCTGTACAACCTCATTCATGGCTTCATTTATTCAGATGAAAGCATGACAGACATACAGTAGCCTATTCTTATAAAAATGAAAAAAAAAAAAACTGTTTAGTGATGAAGTATTGTTTATATGTTATGTAAATACCAATTTTATTTATTTTGATAGTTCACAATACAGTATATTTCTTTACTAGTAGTAAGTCTATGAGAATTGTAACAAAAAAATACTACAAAAAAACAACAACAACACACAAACAACATCAGTCAAACATGTGTAACAGTCAGCAAAGAAAAAAAAATAACCTAGAGGAGATCATCAGGTTGAAATGAAACACTACAGTTGAGTTGAAAAGGGACCATTTAGACCTGATGTTGATGAATCGATACAGTCAAACCTGGAGAAGCAGAAGAGATCGCCCTCTTTGTTTCTAGTTAGACGCTGGAAATGATGTCACTTCTTTCGTAAAAAAGCAACCAGTAATATGATTTCCAGTTACTGATGTGAGATAAGAGACGAGTGAAGCCGGACGAGTGAGAGAAATGCAGATGCAATTTCAGTTTTACTTGCGGATGATCTCCCTGCAGTCGTCACACTTGTCTAAGTGTCTGTATTTATTCTCATCATCGTGCATATTCAGTAATGTGCCGCCATATTGACCAGATCAGTATGAATTCGCTGTGCTGCTGAAATTCAAACTGTCCAGCACATGGGCACGTGTGGTTTACCAAAGTGCTTTCACAGCTGCACCACCGTATTACAGTCCGTTGCAATACCAATACCTGTACCTCTGTTCAACAATGGTCTATAAATAACAATAGTAATAATAAAAAAAAATGTTTCAAAACTGGTTGTGGGTGTCTTTTGTACAGCTTTAATGTGTTTAGTGTTTTGTTTTTTTAAAACAGCAGTCATACAGTTTAATCCTTTGCCACTGAAATCCTAACATTTCTGAATTTTCTACATACAGGTTAATTATTTTTTTGTCCCATCAAACAAATGCACATCATCCCACTCAGGCCTTCTTTTGCTATTGTTAACTGTTTTCTGTTGGGTGGCACTCAACTAGAGGGGGTGCTCGATATGTAGTTATGAATCCCATTGTGGCAAAGAGACGTAGGATCCATAAATTTCTGTGCTTGACAGGGCAAGCGCTCAGCATTCAGGTGGGCTGACAGAGTAAAGTGAAGTTCATCACGCCTGTTTAATCACAGAAATCCATTTGGGATTTACCACAGTACGATTAGGAGAAGAAAAAAAACATATCAGATGTACAATAAGGAGTCCACGTTATAACTAAGCTTCAGCAGTTATCAGAGGCAAAGAGGTATTATTTGATAAAGCTGGGAAGTTGCAAGCGGTATTACCAATAGATAAAAACATTCCTGTCTGCTATCATGTCCCTTGAGGAGTGAAATAAATGAAAAAGAAGTCAAGAAACTTTTCACAGTTTTTTTCACAGTCTTTACCTGATGCAGATAAACACTGAGAACACACATTCCTAGATTTCAGTTGAATTTCTATCATTTCCAACAGGAACACTACACCAAGTGGATGCCATAGATGTGAACACAATGATGACTGCAAAGTATCTCTAATTCCAGGAAAACGATGCTTCTTTTTATTTTTTCAACTTTTAACTTTCTCAAATGCTGCATTTCTCAAATCTATTAGAAAGCGTTTGCCCTTTTAGCTGTGGCTGCTTGAAATTGTGATGAGCCCCCCAAAAAAACACATTCCCTCTGTGACCACTCCTTAAACACCTATTTAACAAGAACAAACACTGTTTTGAGTCATAATCATGAAGAGACTATGATAATTATAATAGTAATAAGTGAAGGTACAACAGCAATGATTAAATTAAAGCCGCAAGCGGTGATGGACGGGTCCTCGCCCTACGCTTGTCGGCCTTCGCGCACGGCGGGGTGTGGCGCAAACCTGCTCCGGGCGGGACTGTGATCC